AAGAAAAAAAAATAGAAATGACCTTGTCTTCTTTCTTGTTTCTTTACAAAATAGTCTATGGCTTTGCTAGTATCAATCGCCTGTGGTGATTACTTTTCTTTTTGGTTTAAACAAAAATCAAACAGAAACCTAAAACATATATACCCGAAACTCTAAGAAAGTTTGTTGCAAAAATTTTTTGTTGAATGCCTTCCTTTTATGTTTCTTCTCAACTATTTTTTCCAACATAGAACTCCCAAGAGAAAATCCTAATTATTTAAACCCGAAACACCATAAAAGATTACCAAAAAACTCTTAATTTTTTTGTTCTATTTTTTTACTCTTTCTCCCTTGATTTTTTCTGATTGATTCTTCATTGTCTCTACTTGATCCTAATGGAGTCTTTTTATAGGCCTCTAATCCAAATCACAAGAAGGTTTTCTTGGTTTTAATCTCCTGGTCACAGCCAATTTTAGATTTTTAATGCAAGTCTACCTCTCAAATCAATACATTTCCTTTTTCAATTAAAGTACTAGACTTCAAATCGAATCAAGCTTTTTCGTTTTTGTCCTTTTTGTAAAACCATAAATCAATTAATTAACAAAATAAATAATTTTAAATTAAACAAAATACTAAAATCCTAAAATTAAATTAAAAAATATTCAGAACTAAATGAAATGTCTACAATCATCATTTAGCTAAATTGGCTTCGAAAAATGATCCCTATCATGTTTGAAGAGAAGACATTTTAGATAAATGTGATTGTAAAGTAAGACAGTGAGTTGATTTATTAATGCAGTTTGTCATTTTATTTAAAAAAGAAAATTCTACTTTCAAAATTTTCCCTATTAGTAAATATGATGATATATATATATATATATAGTAATTCGTAATGATTTTCGAGAGGAAAATTAAGAAAAAGAAAAAGGACCTTTTCTCTGCTTGCCTAAGTTTTTTCTTGTCATAAGGTACATTAAAATCTTAATTCTCAAAATGGGGTACTTTACTATTTTTAATTTTTTTTCATAAATAAGATATTTTACATCATTTATATGTTATTGTCTAGGTGGTCAAATTGCCAACACGGCAATTAGCACTATTTTTATCATTTTTGCATTTCCTTTTATTTTTTAAAAATATTTTTCCTTCTCTTATAATGCTTTTTTTCTCTTTCGTGCGAACAACATTGCAGAAAAGATATAATCGATGCTAGTGTGATACTGCTAGAGGAGAGCCCAAAATTACCCAAGTTGCAAGAACTAGTAAATTACTTCATTACCCTCACTTTTGTCTTTTCCTTTTTTCCATAAACAATTTATTTGTTTTCTTGGCTTGCCCCACTAATCAACTATAATCATCATTGTCTATGATAGATGACATGTCTCAGCAAAAGATAAGAAAAATTATACAGTTCCTTTCTCTTCTTTTCAGCAATGGAAATTTAAAGACGAAAACGTGTTAAGTTGGGGAAAATTTTTATTGATATCGAATTTGATTTAATTTTATATTTATAATATTAGAATTTGATAAATTTTTTTATTTTTTATATTTGAATTTAATTTAATATTATATAAAATTATATTCGATTCGAATCAAAATTAATAAAATATTAATTTTTAAAATATAAAATATTTTTAATATATATAAAATTAAAAATATATATATAAATATAAAATTAAATAAATAATTTTAAAAATAATTATATATATAATAAGTCAGGTCGAACGGGTTTACTTAAAACCCAACTCGATTTTTTTGATTACTATTATTTTACCCAACTTAATTCTAAACTCGATTTTCATTAAAAACAAAAATCAATCCTATGAAATCGGGTCAAGCTGAAGATGGATTGAATTGGTATCTTTAGTCATATTTCAGGTTTTTAATTCACATCTATTTTGTGGCATTCTATCAAACACCAAATTTGTAATACCCATTTTTTCATAAAATCCATTCAAATTCTGAGTATTTTGCAAAATCAAGTTCCATTGAAATCCAAATTTTGACACAAATCCCACTCATGTATAATTTTATCTTTTTGATATCCAACAAGGTCACCATCGCTTTAAGGAGAAATTACCAACAACCAATGAAATATCAAATATATTATTAAAGAATTCATGTTAACAATGGAACAAAAAGATTGCATCAGGTAGTGTCACTTTTCCTTCTTGAATAATTGAAAATTTTTAATAATAAAAATCCAAAGAAGCAGAGTAAGTCTGCTAGAAAAAATAACAACAAGAAGCAAAAAAGATAAAAGAGTACAACCAACAATTAGTGGCTTATACCCAAATTCTTACAAAGAGTATTTGTTTGAATACTTAATGACTACGAGAATTAAAACAAAAATGAATCCACAGATATGCAACAACTCGTTGAAACACTTCTTCTGAAGTCTTCAATTTGTTTGTTTGCTTCCTTGAATTTCTCTCCCTCCATTGGTGATTTCGATGCAAGTTTGAGAAGAATAGAAGTCTATTGAACTAGTGTTTCAAGGAAGAATTTCAAATGATAATACCCGCTTTTGGATGTGGGTGAAATTTTGTTTGGAATCTCGCTTGACATTGCAACAAAAATGTTGTCAACATTTTTCTTATCTATTTCTAGTAAGAGTCAAACAATTCTCTTCATTTAAATCTATTTTTCACGCCAACATGATACAACTTTCTTCTTACAAATTCACTACGACCACAAGAATGCTACAAGATTTTGGTTTCTATAAAATTCCAAATCATGTTTAGATTCTAATCCTCTCATGTAATTTTTTACACAATAAGTTTTGACAAAAATTAATTTTAAAAGCATTGGGTTGCAAATGTTAGAAATAGAGAACAAAAATAGGGACTTAAGATCACAAAAAAGAACAAGTGAAAGGGGAATGAGGAAGTAGAGAGTGAGAGAAGTTGAGACTTGAAGAAAAAGAGAATGAATCAGATTGATTTTTTTTTTTTTTTTTTTTTGTGAATACCCATTCAATGAGACTTCAATATTTTGAGAACGATTATGGAAAAGAAAAAAAAATTGAAAGAGAAACAGATGTGTTGCAGGAGAGAAGGATAAGGTAATGGATTGAAGAAACAAGACAATAATGTGCAAAAAGATTAAACAAAAATGGTTAATAGAATTAGAGAAAGAAAATGAAAAATGAAAAATGAAAAAAAAAAAAAAAAACCAGATTTCCACGCAGACAATCTGGCCATGTGGACTATGATATGAGGTGACATGGCTTCTAATACCCCAATTAAAAAAAAAAAAAGTACTTTTGTTTGAGAATAAAGATTTTAATATGTGCCAGTGCAAGAAAAAACTCGAAGGTATAAAAATCATATATAATTAGTTTATATTCAAATTTATTCTCAGTTAAGGGATCAATCTAGCAAGTTCAAAAAGGCCAGAAAAAAGAAGTTCTAATCAAGTAATTAGGAGTAAGAAAAGTTTATTTTGATTTCTCAATTCATTAACCATTAATGATTATTATAATCATAAAAAATATGATTCTCTTTGAAAATATTAATGGTAAAATAACTTCCTACATTTATAATTATTTTTTGAGTAATTTCTTATGTATCAAATAATAAAATTATCCACATAAATATTCATATAAGCAATATTTATTAAGTACTTTATATTTTATAATATAATATTATATATGATTAATAAAGATAAAAATTATATGCATTATTTTAATTTAAAAATATTATAAAAAAATTAAATTTAATTACCAAAACAATTTTAAATTAATATACTAATTTGAAAAAGATTAGATCTTTCATCAATTTTAAAAATTTCAAATTTCAAATATAAATGTTAAACATATTTTAAATTTCAAATTTCAAATATAAAGATTTAACATATTTCAATTGGGCTCAAAAATACTATGAAGACATTAATTTTTGGGCACTCATTCTCATCAAACGCAAGCAACTCAAATATAAAGCCAAGAAAAGATCAGATCTAAGATTCCTAATACTGATTCTAAAATTAATTTTCACTTTATAAAATAAACTTCTTTACAAGAAAATAAATTGAATAGATACACACCTGACATCGTTTTTTTCCGAGCCTCATGCGCATTACCATATTGCAACACATTGCATCTGCTTTCACTTCATGGAGTCAAAGTCCAGAAATTAATTACTAAATTAAAAGTTAAAAAATTGCTATTTGTTTTAAAAAAAATATTGCTATTAATATATTATAAATTTATGATGTATATAATTCAATTTATTTATACAATTATTTTTAATAAATCTTAAATTTAAATCTTAACAATTATAACCTTTTTTCATATTATTATCTCTTTTGTTTTAAAAAACACTACTCTACATTTTCAAGTCCAAAAAAAAAAAAAGTTTAACACTAAGTCAAAATTATTTTCATTTTTTCAATTCCTAGCTACCTGCACAACAAAAGCCTTTTAAACTCCCATCCCTCTATCATTTACAAGGTATACTACCTGCCTAAATACCACCTTCCTTCTGGATGGAGCTCTTCAAAAAGTCAAAATATACCTTATTACTGATAGATATTTTAATGGTATTACCTAAAACACGACCTAATGTTGTTGTAACATCAGTATCCGTGAACAGAAAATGGAATAATTTTTTGTCTGTTGTCCTTGACCACTTTTGTTTGTAAAAATTCCTTCAAATTGTTTGGATAAATTATAGCAAGTGTTTACATCGGAGTCGAGGATGGTATGGAAACAATTTTGATAATTTGTATATTTATATTTGTTTATTTCATATAAAAATACTTATAATATATAAATTTTCGTATCTTAATTTACATAATATTAAATTAAATAAATATAAATTTTTATTAAAAATTTAGAATGTATCACTTTCATTTTTTTTATATCAATATCGTATCATATTAACTTATTGTATTTAGACGAATATACTAATATCTCACATCTTATCCCAAATCTATACTAGCTGTGCTTTTTTTTTTCCCTACAGATTCAGATATTACATGTCCCTTGCTAGCTACTAGGTCTATATATGTGTAACAGCAGTGGGCAACAGGGCCTGTCATTCACGACTAAAAATAGCCGAAAACATGAAGCTTGAGGTTGAAGTAATATCCAAAGAGATTATCAGGCCATCTTCCCCAACTCCTCATCAACTTTGCCATTACCAACTCTGCTCACTTGATCAATTAGCACCACCGGTTTATAACCATCTGGTCCTATTCTACAAGAACAAAAGCGATATCCAAATCGACAACATCAAGAATGTTCTTGACCACCTTAGGCTGTCCGTATCCAAAGCCTTGACCTATTTCTATCCGCTTGCTGGACGCATTAAAGATAACTTGTTCATAGACTGCAATGATGAGGGAATTCCCTTTAAGGAAGCCCATGTCAAGTGCCGACTTGCTGATATTCTACAAAGTCCAGTCCCTAAAGAACTCAACAAATTGTTTCCTTTTGCTCTTGATAGTGCTGCAGAATTGCCAATGGGAATCCAGTTCAACACTTTTGATTGCGGAGGGATAGGAATTGGCTTGTGTATTTCACATAAAATTGGAGATGCCCTATCATATTTTACGTTTCTGAATACATGGGCAGACATTGGTCGTGGGGATGATCAGAAAATAGTTTTGCCAGAATTTGTATCAACCAAGCTCTTCCCCCCACGGATCCTTTCACTACCTGAGCCAGTGGTGGACACAAATAAAAAAAACATAGAGACGAAGAGGTTTGTGTTCAGTGCCTCTAAAATTGAGGAAATCAGAGCAAAATATGCTGAAAGCGGAAGCTTAGAAAACCAAAAGAGACGCTCTTCACGTATTGAGGCCTTGTCAGCTTTCATATGGAGCCGTTTCATTGCCTCAACCAAGGAAAGATCAAGCCCTGATGGCTTCTACACGATTGTTCACACAGTTAATTTACGCACAAGATTTGAGCTGCCGCTGTCAGATCAATCTTTTGGAAATATTTACCATGTTGCAATAACTGTTCCATCCATGGACAGTGAAAAAGATTGTGATAATCTTGTTAGCCAGATGAGAGACTCTATAAGAAAAATCGACAAAGTATTCGTGGAGAAACTTCAAGTTGGAGAGGATTTATTCGATTCAACCAACGAAGGGGATGAAAATTTCAATAAGGGAGAGAAGATTCCCTTTGTCTTCACTAGTTTATGCAAGTTTCCTCTATATGAAGCTGATTTTGGTTGGGGAAAACCAATATGGATCAGCTCAGCTACCTTGAGTTCCAAGAATCTAGTTGTTTTCATGGATACTGCATCTGGTGATGGCATAGAGGCTTGGATTAATCTAACGGAGGAAGACATGGCTGCATTTGGAATTGACGATGAATTGCTTGCAAGTTTCAACAACTAAAAGCTGTTAAAATAAGAATAACTCAAAAATTCAGAGTTTAGCTGACTTAAATTTGTATTTTCTAATCGGCACTACATATTATTATATTAGAAAAACATTGCGTCTACCTTAAAAGTTTAATTTATTCTAGATTGTCCTTTGCTGAGCTTTAATTCACACATCAGTCCCGGATATCAATGAAGGAATAGTTGATACGTGGAGTTTTAAAATGAAACAAATTAAAATTAAAAGGAATACCTCAAGGTACCATTTTTGCATAATAAACATCTATTTTTTAATCGATTTTAGAGTTTTTCATACAAAATAGAGATTTAATTAAACAAAATCAATATTTTAAGGCTCAATTAAATATACAATAGAAAGATAAGGACTTATTTAAAAAATAAGAATTTTTTAATAATTTAATTTTAAAAAACCAAGTCTTACTTGAAATTGTCTAAGTGGATCAAAGAATATTTAAAATTTCAAGTTTTATATTATATTTTAATTCAATTCAAATAAACATTCTGAATATTTAACAAAAACGGTGGTTCATAGTAGTTGAATAACAAAAGGTTAAGTTCATAGAAAGTTAGAACTGTTTATTCAGTGGTAATGCCTTTCCAATATGCAAAGTTATTTTTTGGAGGGTTTGGATGCATAGTTGCTTTCCAATTGGTCTTTAACACGACATCCGTTTTACTTTTAGGAGTAGTGACTTCAAAGTTTCACCACATTACAACTAAAACGAAAAGTGTTGATAAAGGCCAAATTTGTTAGTCCCCTCAGTCCTGTAATGACATTAGAGGCTTCCATTATAAATGCTACTATAGCAATCCTTTATAAAACTGGTCAGATGCTTTTATGCTCTTGTGAGATTGGGAACTAGCACATGTTTACAAATAAACCTGAACTTTTTTGTCAAGCAAGTAAAACTTTGTTTTTTCTCCATGCGAGAATTCCTTCAATCACATTCCATTTTAGGCATATCATGCCCGCATTCATCCAGAACTTGATCATTCCAAGTGCTTCCTCTGTTCTTTGAGTTTTGCTGCAAGTTGTTACTCTATTCAAGTAAGAACTTTTGGCATATTGAATCTCGATTGCACAAAAATAATAGATCTGTATTTTTTTCATATTTATTTTACTTTGGGTATCAATGATGTTTTTCCTTTTCTTTTCTTCATCTAATTTATGATTTGTTGAGGCTATTGAAAGGTTATAATAGAACAAAGAAAACCACAAAGGAAAGTTATTTGTTAAAACTACTCATGTTTGGAAATTATAATGTGTTGCTAAATTGCAGTTGGTAGGGTCCTTCTGTACTGTGTAGACATGTGTGCCGGATGTTTGATGATTAACTAAAATTTCTATTTGCTTATCATGTAGGTTGGGGGCCATTTCCACTGACGCTATGCATTCTAGGGAGAGGCATTGTTGATGCTTTCATTCGCTGTTTTTGGCTTTGTGGTGAAACCTTTGCAGTTCAGAGGTAATTATTTTTATGTGTCATTTGCACTCCAGAGTTTGTAATTGTATGATCCTACAACAATTTAATTATTGAATACTACTGAACTTTGAACTATAGGATTTTGTTGTTTTGAATCAAAAAAAGCATTGACATCTATGGAGACAATTTCTGCTGTAATTGGCGGTATCAAACACGAATACTGAAAATTATTATAGGAAACCTAGCGAAGATAGGCGTCCACACTAGTACTTACAAAAAGTGAAGAAAGCTTCTCCAAAAACTTTAATCAAGAAGTTTCTTTCTTCAATGAGAGTTCAATTGTGCCAATGTTTCATTTTCCCTTTATTTTTTATTGCAAAAGCTAGAGGAAAGAGCCAAGAAAAAAACTTCTCTTCCTTCACTACCGGTTATAATCAAACACGGTAACATCTATTTGTTCAAATTTTTTTTTTTAATTTTTTGTTTGGTTCCTGATAAAATGTTCTTATCATAGTTGAACTCCGTCACCCTGTGTACGACTGTGTTGGAGTCATGTCTCTTCTTCAACACCGGCTCCGCCAACTGCAAATGGATCTGAGCTATGCCAAGTCTGAATTGTCAAAGTACCAGAGTTTGGGCATCACCGGCCATGCTGGCCTCATAGAGGCGGCAGCAGCGGCAGCTGGGCCACAGCACGGCCACGGCCACCACATATCAGAGTTTGGGGATAAATCTGATCGGGAGCGTGGTATTTTGCTTTGCATGCAATTTTTTAGAAAAAAAATTCATATTTTAGATTATTGAAATGGCATTAGGTTCTGCTTTCTAATTCGTATAGCTCTTTGCTTTGATCTTAGCAGTTTGACTGTTCTATTTATGCTAAAGATGAATTTTTCAATGCATTAAATTGTTGATTCAAATTTCTTTTGAATATAATTGTTTTTTATGATTTGATTTTGGATGCTTTAAATTGGTAATTGGTAGTATTGATAATCGAGTTTGCCTGTAAGTGGGTAGGTCTACTGCAATCTTTAGTTGAAGATTGAATGGTGTTTTGCTTTGCATGCAATCTTTACTTTGTGCAAATTATTTCAATAACTCTTCAGGGTAAACCTCTCTTGATTGAATTTGAGTCAGCATTGAGTTTCATAGTGTCTTCCCCAGCAGCATCCATTGCTAGAACTATTTTCTCTGGCTCTGGCGATAATGTAATGATAAGATAATAGTGTACTATGTAGCTAAAATTGTCTTTCTGTAAGAGTTTCTCTTACTTGACAATTGGCCAATACGTGGGAATTATGGGATGGACTTTGAATTTTATTTTATTTTTCTTCAAGATTTAACTTTTTAAGTTTAGTGTCTTATTGTAAGGCAGTTTCTTTGCATCTCTTATTTGTCGATACATGCTCCATTTCACAACTAATTCATATTACTTTAGTGTCATCTTTTATGTGAATCTACTAATTTTGAAGGCAAATCTGTATTATAGTTGCTAACATTATTTGGATTTAATTCAAATAATACAGATATATTTTTATTATTTTAAAGCTCCTTCTGGATAGGTTGAAGAATGAGATGACTTGGGCTTTAAACACTCTTACATTGCTTTCTTTCAAAGAGAAAGATGATATGCGTAAAGACACCTGCTTAGCCAAAATCCCTGTCTTGCTCGATGCTCTTCTCCAAATTGTATGTTTTCTCTGTCTTGATAAACTTTTATTTTATTGTAAATTGGTGAGAATCCTTCGGAATTTCCATGTGCTTTAAGATTGAATGATGGGGGTGGTAGCTTTTTTTTATTATTATTTGTAATGTGGAGCAGAGAGATGATTGGCGTGATAAAGCCCTTGCTAAGGAACTTAGAAAGGGACATAGAGCTTGAACATTGGGTGCGAGTTCTTTTGTAACTGGATTTGAACATGAATATCAGGTGTTGGGAATGAATACCTTGCAACCAGAGTCAAGGTAGGCTGGAAAATCTTTTTATGTTTTGTTGGTTTGAATTACTGAAAAATGAATATGGTCTGTTTTTCTGGCATGGCAAATTGGGATCAGGTTCTTCTGCTGTGGAACCATCAGGGCAGAAAAATTCAAGTAAATTGCATCCGTCAGAGTGGTGGTTTGATGAAGATGGCCTATTTAATCTAGATGATAAGGGTCGAGCAGAAAAGCAGCAGTGCGTTGTTGCTACTTCTAATATTATTCGCAACTTTTCTTTCATGCTAGATAATGAAATTGCTATGGCTCAACATCGACATTGCTTGGAAACTGTATTTCAATGCATAGAAGATCACATCGTAGGTGAGACAACCCCTTCTCTTTTCTCTCTCATCATGTACATTTTAGTGTATGTATATATATGTCCATATCCTTCAAAAATTATACTCTTTTAGATTCTAGGACTAGATTGAAGAATTTTAGATTTATAACTTGGTTAGCTCATTGCTCAGATAGGGAATGAATGCGTGTTGAAGGTCCCATCACCTATCCAAATGGAGCCTTAATTGTGGTTATTTAAGACACAGTCACAGCCTTCTAATAATGTCTAACTTACCAATTTTCTCATAATGATTCTTCTTGTGCTAAACACTGAGAATTAGATTTATTGCCTATGTTTACTTCCGTAGTGAATCCAGCATTGGTCATTCATTGAAGGAAGCTAGGATATTTTGGAGTCTATTGATGATAATTTCTTTTTTGTTGCAAGCAGCTGATACTGTGCTTAAGGTTGTTGGTTTTCTTATTGAAATATAAGTACCTAACCATTTTCAAGTTCTCTATAATGCATTCATGTAACACGTGATATTTAATCATATGCAGGAAGTAACTGTTTTGGATGCCGCATAGTGATTAAAAGTATGATGTTTACCGTTGAAAAGTCCCTGTATTTTGTTGGTCAAATTGAACATAAAAAGTTGAGAAAATTTTGTGTGAAATGCATGCATTGTATTAAAGAACATTTTCTTCATTATAAATTCCTATGGTTCTGCATTTTAAGTACTGTGTATTGAGTTACAGTCTTAGGTTCTGTGGCAATTTTGTCTCCTTTCAATGGTTTTTCTATTTTGGATCTTGGTTGGATGTTAATGTGATTGTACCATGTTTAGTGCAAGCATTATTCATTTGCCAACTTCTACCATTTTTATCAAAATTTAGGGGCATTCCATTTAATCAGCTTCCCAACTATCTTAAAGGTGGTGTAGATTGCTTCTTGAACATGAGTGGTACTTTATCAAGTGGTAAGCCGTCATAATTGTTTCAAGTATCTTCTATCTATCGTAAAAGTCAATCAATTCCATTCTAAGCAATGTAGGCAATGACTGCATTTCAAATGGAATGCATAGAATGCCATGAATATGTCTATAAATTGCAGAATCCACGTCCACTTATGAAAAGTTAAAAACAATGCAAAATCCAAACATTGCTTAATTTTGATGAGAGAATTATCAAATGAAATTTCAATTTTAAAAAAGTATACTTTGTATTTATTGATTACATAAAATGTTTTAAACCCCTTATTACTCTAAAACATTAAATTCAAAATCGACATGAATTATTCACTTAAATATGATTAGAAAATTAATAGTTCTTCATTAA